TACAGAAGAGATGTTTAGTGTAAAAAAATTGTCATTTATTCAAATGACGAAAAAATGAAATACATAAAACAATTACAAAAGAAATTTGGCTGGGAGACATACATGTACCAGAATCATGGAAAGTTTGACTAGAAATGCAGTTCAATAAAGGATTCAAAAACAATGGTCTCCCAGCCACCATATCGTTACAACACACAGATGTGATAATGTGGTAAAATACAACATCAAACATTATTGGAAACAAAAATGGTGCATAAAAAGCGTCCCCTTAAGAACAAATACCCTAATAATTTTATTATTAAAAAACAAAAAAAAAAATGTGGGGGATGGAGTGGAGGTGGTGGTTGCTTTCTTGTCCACTAAATTTTTTCGGCAGCACTCCGAGATACACAGAGAATAATGTAAATAGGATGTCTTGCGCAGCAATCTGATTGTCTGAGACAAAATAAGCGCTTTGGTAAAATTAAATGAACCATATAAAAACGGATTCCAGAGAAAAGGGGGGCTTTATATATATGATTTACAGATAAAAAGTATTATAAAATTAACCAAACAATTAAACATATTCTGACAGCCACATAAATTACACTTATGAAATTTTTAACATAAATTGCTTTATTTGAACCTTATTTTATGATAAAACCTTATTGGCAGACCAAGGCAACATAGCAGCTCAGTTTGTTTCCAAAAATCAAAACAGAAGAGATGTTAAGTGTAAAAAAAATTGTCATTTATTCAAATGACGAAAAACTGAAATACATAAAACAATTACAAAAGAAATTTGGCTGGGAGACATACATGTACCAGAATCATGGAAAGTTTGACTAGAAATGTATTTCAATAAATGATTAAAAAAACAGTGGTCTCCCAGCCACCATATTGTTACAACACACAGATGTGATAATGTGGTAAAATACAACATCAAACTTTATTGGAAACAAAAGTGGTGCATAAAAAGCGCCATCAACCCAAAGGGTTGAAGCACCACTCAAAATGTTACCTTGGTAGACCCTCTAATATGATAAACATGTTAAATTTGCAAAACATGGTACATATAACCAATAGACTATTTACATTAATCTGGGGAAAACTGCAAATGAAGGACTTCCCTGCCCCAACCTATGATAGTCTTAATAGACACATGTTACTACACATTTATCATGGCCTTCAGGTACATAAAAACCAGAAAACATTTGTGAAAAAACTATTGGGCAGACCAATTGTGAATCTTTTAAATTAGACTTAATACATGTAAAAACATTACAGGCCCCCCCCCCCCCAAAATCAGGGGAATCTATGAACGTAGATGGAACGGATGGATAACCTCTAAACCTCCTAGGATTTAAGATGAAAATTATGTACAAAAACAAATATGTATATAAATCTACACCTATTGCAGATACCTAAATTTTAAGGGCATAGCTAACAGGCACACAAAATCTGAATTTGTTGGAAATATACAATGCAGAAAAAAGCTTAAGGTAACAGGCAGACAAATTCTGACCCTGTTTAAACTAAAACAATACTATATGGTAACAGGCAGACAAGTTCTGATCCTGTTAGAATCAAAACAATAATATATGGTAACAGGCAGACAAATTCTGACCTGTTAAAATTCATACAATACTGACAAAATAACAGGCAGACAAATTCTGACCCTGTTAAAACTTAATACAATAAATCCACTGTTAACAGGCAGACATATTCTGCAACTGCTAATTTAAATGTCACTTAACTCCGGCTAGACAATAAAGGTCAAATTTGAGATGGTGAGTCAGCAGTCATTGAAAAATTTTAACAGGAAGGTGGATTTTAATTGTGTAGGGAATTAATGCCAATGTATTTTTGAACGGCATCTGATTTCCATCTGCCTAGCTTTTGGATTTGAGTTTGAAAGAGACCTCTTCTTGCTGCTTCAGTGGCTGCACCTATTCGAAAACTGTGGCTTTATATACATTTGAATTAAGACCTATAAAAGATACCGTCTTTTGGATATTATTTGTAATAAAGTAATGAGTTACTGGAACCTGAGTGGAACTGAAACAATGGTCCCGATGAGTGCTTGTGATAGGACAGATACATTTGAAGGGACTGTACTGGACATATCTCTTGAGAAGTTGCGCAGCTGCCCGTAAAATATCAAACTGTTCAAACCGTAGTAACTTCTCTGAACTACCTAGATATGACGTCATAATAGAATATGACGTCAAGTCACTGCATACTTGAGCTGACATGACGGGGAAAGTGTCATAATTATTACACGGCATGTAGATTTATTATGGGGATTTGTGTTTAATTCAAGAGTAAGGTTTGTTTTTATAAGATTGTGTGTGCTGTTATAATGTTTAACATTTGATATTTAAATATCTCTATTTCTTTTGCTTGTCCGATATGCATATATTCAAGCAATAGCAAAAAATTATGTTTGAAACGCCCCCCTTACACTTCCACCCCTACTAATGTTATTGTGATTTAAATTCAAGACACGTGGTTAAGATTGATCTATTCAAATGTTATAGGGTAGAACCGGTTTTATAAATAAAATTGGCAGTAAACATGATATTGCTATAGCCTGTTTCTTTTGAAAAATGTCCTGTAATAAATGTTTCCAGACCTTTCTGAAAGACTTTCATTATTTTCAACAGAAAAAGGGTGCCGTAAGGAGGGGGTGTCAAAATAACAATATATCTTATACTTTTCTGCCAAAATTAGAGCTCACTAGTGACCGATTCGCTGGTAAAAAATGTGCATTATCATCTACACTGACAAACCTTTGTTTGCCTTATATGGCTATTGTTATAAATGCGCACAGAAAATCCTACCACGAGCAACTGACCAATCGTTGAATGAAAAACAACGTTTACGCCAAATACATGTTTATATTTTACTTCGAACACGTAGTTCAGGTCAAACTACGATCATGTTAATGGACTGCAAAATTAAAAAAAAATGATCTTACGAACAAAATACAAAGATAAGAAACCACGAAAGATGTTACGGGCGTTTTTAATTTGCTGTTAAATAGAATAAAATGTTTAATGATATGTAGTTAGTGTCAAGTTCAGAATACCAACACTTCTAGGGTAAGGAAAACGAGCATTTTCTCGTATGCATTTAAATGGACAAACCACGTGTTTTGACCAGAGAATCCACCTGACAATTGTATTCTCCGATAGTACAATAAAGGAATTAATACAGTCGCAAATCGCTTTTGCAGTATGACTTTCAGAAACCTAGACATCCGCCGTTTATTTAACAAATGAATTGTTTGAGCATGAAAATAACATTTTTAAAGATGCTTTTCATTTACCATAAGATTGTCCTTTTTTCAAGCGTAAAATTCCTGTAGTATTCGTAGTAACCCATAATGCAATACTAGTACTCATTCAGCTGATTGGTCAGTTAAAATCATGCTGGTGCCTCATTTGCTAATCTGACGCCAAAAAATATAGTCCCGGTTCCCATGCAAAAATATTTGTCCAAAAAGAAATTTTTATTCATGACTGCAGAAAATTGTATTTTATAGGATACTTATTCAAGTTTGAATGAATGTAAGAGATCGATTGATTAAAGTACATTTCTACAGACATTATCAGCTGATTCTAGGGTGATGAAAAATGAAAGGCAACATAACTTTTCTGTTTACCATGCCTCCACGTGCTAGTCACTTCCTAGCCACATTTCCGTGAATAATTTACCCTATCTCGCTGAAGTCTCGCTAACTCTCGCCAGAGCCACTGCCAGAGCTACTTTGAACTCATCGGGCTTTATAATTTGCAGAACTCGAAAAATAAAAGGTTCCGAATACATAAGTAGGGGTGACTTCCGTAGACAGAAATAGAATTTATGAATCGTGTTTATATTGGACTGGCACATGTGAAAGACAAGGATAAATTGAAGATATTTTGCGTGAATCTAAAAGAGAAGTATGTCTTCTAACTCAATTTTGCTGGGGGATCGTATGTATTTTATCCGTTTTTGTATAAATCGCGATTAAGAGTGGAAAATACCCCTTCTTACGTTGGTAATTTTAATTTATCTTTAAATATTTTCTTAAGAAGAAAAAATTAAACCTGCCCCCAGCACTTTTTAAGTACCTTGGATCACGATGAATTGATCTATATAACAAACTTTGCACAAAAATTGTGCTATGCACTTGTGCCGATGCGATTTTTGTGCAACATTTAAGAATATCAAAAATGTCCGTCACGTGATCAACACAGTCATCTGACATCACAGAAATGCTTTATTATAAGGATAGCATATTGAAATTAAAATCTAGCTCAAAATAAAATGTATATTTTAAAGACATTTTAAGCCTTCAGACAGCCTTATCATAACTGCGTGCCTTGGAAAGATATATGGTAATGGGGTGTGCAGTTTGCATTGTGTTTGAATATCTCAAGATGATTTCAACTTTTGAATTGCCCTGTATACTGATGTCTTGTCTTTGAAAAATGCAAGATTTTTGTGATGGTGTTTTTGCAATCAATTCAATTGGAACTGTAAGAGGCAAAGCATTTACTAATTTAACTAGGATTGAAGTTGTAATCGGGAGTCTGTAATCTGGCGTTCTTGCAATCTTGCTTGCACTATGAAGAATTTTTCATACTAAGAAATTCTGGGAATGATCAGGTAAATTTAAGACTTTGTGAACAAAACTAATGGCAGAAACCATTGATGTAATGGAAGAAGGACTGTAGTTCTGTTCGAAAGATGTGCAATAAAATTACAGAGGGTTATTACAGATACAGGTAATTCTCTGTTTAAATTCTTCTGATCACAAAACTGAAGAAAAAGGAACCAGCTGTGCTTGTAGGAAGTCTTAGTTGACAAAGCCAAGGAGGAATGCAGCAGCGAAATAGCAGTGGTGCTTAGATGTGGAGGAGGTGAGGTGGGATTTGCACTGGTTGTCTGTTGAGCCCTGGTGCCAGGGTTAAGGTTTCCTGAAATTCAAGGCGAGACAATTTGTCAACTATAACGTTTTGTTTATCTGGGACTTATTTGGCTTTAAAGAGGATGTTATTCTGTAAGCAAATAAGCACTAGACGCCTGACTAACTTCATAACAGTCTTGTCTTTGCTTGAAGTTTTGTTGATAATGGCAACCACGGCTTCATTGTCAGTAAGAAACAAAATCTTATGGTTTTGAAATTGGGAACCCCACATCTCCATAGCCAGTACAATTGGAAAGAGTTCTAAGATTGTAATGTGCAATTGTTTGAATTCATCAGGCCATTTCGCTGCAAACCAAACTGCTCCTAAAATTGCAGCAAAAACTTGTGTAGATGCAGCATCAGTGTAAAGGGTGAGATGGTCAGAAGAGGACCAAACGTCACTGAGAAAAACTGACTTGCCGTTAAAGTGTGAAATGAACTGCAACCAGAATTGTATATCAGCTCGGGCTTCACATGTAAGGCGTATAAAATGTCTAGGATTGGAAACTTTACAGGACATGTCAATAAGCCTACGCAAGAAAGCACGCCCTGGAGATATCACTGAGCAAGCAAAATTTAGCAACCCAATGAGGGATTGTAATTCATGGAGAGTGATCTTTTTCCGCATGGAAAAACTGGATAACTGAGCTTCAATTTTTGATATTTTGTCGTCTGGTAAACAACATTCCATAGCAATGGAATCCACCTCAATACCATATATGATGATGTTCGTGTTGGGGAGACAGGTTTTGTTGGGATTTAAAGGGATTCCAATTTTGTCACAAAGGGATATAAAATTGTTCAAGTCTGTTAGGCAGCTATCGGATGCAGGGGGACCTATGAAGAAAAAATCTTCAATCATATGGGACATACCTTTGGCTGAGAATTTGTTGAGCATGATCCACTGTAATGCAGTGATAAGCGTTTCAAAAATTTTACAGGAACTACTTGCTCCCATAGGGAGGCATTTGTCATAGTAAAAGAAATTTTCCCATTTAAATCCCAGTAAATGGTAATCTTCCGGATGGATAGGGATATTGTGAAAACCATCTTCAATATCACATTTAGCCATTAGGGCTGCAGAGCCAAATTGTCTCACTAGTGAAATTATATTGTCTATGGAGTCATAAGAAACCTGACTATTCTTTGGAGGGATTTGTGAATTAACTGAGTTATCTTCCGGGAAGGAAAGGTCATGAATGAGACGAAATTGACCTTCCACTTTTTTAGGAACAACGCCTAGAGGAAAGATAACCAAATTTTCAAATTGAGGAAAAGGGGAGGGTTCTGATATCCTGCCCAATTTTTGTTCTTTCAGAATTATGTTAAGGACAACTTGAGGATGTTTGTTAGTGGATCCATGATTTGAAGACGATTGAGATGTAGGTGTACCTAAACAACCTAATCTAAAACCAGTCGTGAAGCCTGATAAAATTAATTCTGAAAGGGAGGAATTGTAACCTTCCAAAAAATTTTAAGAATTTCTGGTCTTACTGGGGTTGGGAGTTTTAGACAACAGTCTTTCATCACTTGAGGGGAGTTTGGGGCATTTAACTCTTTGGTGTTGCTCTTTGCAGTACTAACAGATATGTCTGTAGGGACATGGGTCTGTTCTACATGTTTGACCTTGGTTGTATGAGTAGCAGAACTTGATCTTTTGGTTTGCATAGTTATTGAATCTATTTCTGGTAAGAAAGGGCTGGTTTGAGGGACGGAATTTACTAGGTTGAAGATTTGTTCTCAACACAAGTTCGGGTAGGGGTTGTTGCCAAGCCAAAGGGGAAGACTGACGCAATTTTCGAAATTCTTCATCATAGTTACGCCAGGAATCATTCCTACTTGTGAAACACATTTTGCGAATCATATGTATGTATTTGAAGAGGTGGGCTGCATCTGAAGGAGGCTTTTGGACATATATAGATGAAAAAATCAGAAAGGCAGATGTCCATTGGTTAGAAATGGGAAATTTTTTATATTTGCCTTGTTGGAAATTGATTGCCCCCCTTTCTACTGAGACTGAAAAATTATCTTCCTGTTGATTAGGAAGCAGCAATCTGAGGTCAAAATAAGTATTATCCCAAATTTTCTGTTTTAATGTTTAAAACAGTAGCCCCCAGAGGAATATTGCTCGCAAAATTTAAAGGCTGGGCGCATTGATGACTGCTGACTCACCTCCAGATAAAGTGTTCAGGACTGCTGGAATGTTAAAATTGCCTGCAGGGTCAGCTTCTGATAATGGGGAGGCCTCAATGGTTTCATGCATTTGGGAGGCTGCATTACTGTTTTCATTATGGATGTCGGCAGATACCAGGATTTGCGCAGTATGGTTGGGTAGTTGTTGCTAATTGGAATCTGTGCTGACTCGGTCATTGAGAGTGGAAGATGGGACGGAATTAGAGATATCCGAATTTACTGCAGATAAAGCTGGGGTGTCTACAGTTCTTTGTTTCTTCAAAACGGCATCTGCAAGCAGATCATAATCAATAGCCAACTGGGTGGGTGGCGCAGAGGTAGATGACCTCTTCTTTGCTTGGAAGGCTGTGGAGCTGGGCCCTCGGGCTGTTTTGTCGGTGACTTTCTTCGTTTAGGCGGCATTGTCTGAAAAGGAGGAATGCAGCCATAGAAAGACAAATGAATAAAATTTCACAAGCAGAAAATAGACTTAATGTTGTACCCATTAAAAGAAGGATTCTTTTAATTATAACTATTACTATTGTTACTATTATATTTTAATATGTATTTGCATTTTTTTTTATTATATATATACATAATTCTTTTTTAAATGAGGGTACAACTTGAAACATAGATCAGCGAGTACAAACTCGCAAAGATGTAATGGCAAAGCAGGCACATACTTGCATAATTGAGCACAAACTCATCAGATAAAGTGAGCACATACTCACAATGGAAGGCGAGCACAAACTCGCAAAAATGATTATAGCAAAGCAAGCGCATACATGCATAATTGAACACAAACTCAACAGATAAAGTAAGCACATACTCACCAGTAAGCTAAATGTGGCCATTGATTAACATAGTAAAGGCAAGCACAAACTCGCATATTTTTACTGGCGAATCAAGCACAGACTTGCATGAATCGAGTACAAACACAACATAAATACTGCCAAAATAAAAACATAAAGGAAGCACTTAATACAAGCACAATATTGTTGAGGTGTTAGGCAATATATCATATGCTCCGATGACACAAAATTGAATTGAGATCATATCACAGTATCACAACAAATACATGGGTAAGGGGTGCTTTTAAGAAGTAATATTAAAAGATTTGATTATTTAATTTTTTTTAATACGTGAAAAACATCTTAACTGTGAGGTTAGGGATCAAGTTAGAGTGCAATATAAACAGGAAAAATCCCACCTAAATATTGCGAGAAAAACGCAGGATGGTATGTTGCTTCCGGGTATATTTTCCATTTAGGTCTGCTCTAATATGAACATCATCCACTGCCAAAAAGTCCATTGAAGCCCAAAATCCACTCTGTTACCAGAAGGAGATGCTCGACAGACTGTCACTGCCTAATGCAAGCTCCTGAGAATTTGGCCAATTATGACTTGTTTAAATCCGTAACCGTTGAGCATATGCAATAAAGTCTTGACTAGCTTTGGAATTCTCGGAGTGCTGCAAGACAAGTCGCTTCCGCCAATCTGTATAAATACTAGAACCAGTCTTATAGGAAATGATGTGAATTGTCGATCGGAGCCGAGTCTTCGAATAATGAGGCCACCCCTGGCCAAAAGGTCACTTGAAAATATTCATTGTCGAGGCGTAGATTGAAACAATCGGGGTTGAAAATAATAAAGTCTCTGAGACAACTGAAGAAGGGTTCCTTCCAATCCGCCATTTTGTTCAAATGTCTTACAAGAAGCGAAGCCGCAAGTCTTGATTATAAAATACACAAAAATACCGACCTGCAAGGTGCACAAGTGTAAGATCGAAGTAATAGATCTTGCACAAGACGACTGCCGGGTACAGAAGCGATCAAATTGATGATTACTAGGAAACAATTGCTTTCTTGTCCACTAAATTTTTTCGGCAGCACTCCGAGATACACAGAGAATAATATAAATAGGATGCCTTGCGCGGCAATCTGATTGGCTGAGACAAAATAAGCGCTTTGGTAAAATTAAATGAACAGGATAAAAAACGGATAACAGAAAAAAGGGGGGCTTTATGTATATGATTTACAGATAAAAAGTATTGTAAAATTAACAAAACAATTAAACATATTCTGACAGCCACAAAAATTACACTTATGAAATTTTTAACATAAATTGCTTTATTTGAAAATAAACCTTATTAAACAGGAAAATTCGTTAATTTTTTTTTATTTGTGATGCCCCTCTGGTAACTAGACAGTAGAAATTTGTGTTTCTTACATATAATGTACAATATAGTATTAATCATCAAATATTATAGTTTGAATAAAAAGTTTATTATAGTATTTGTATACTTTGCTTTTAAGTGCTAAAAATCGACATTTTCCTATATAATCCTATTGTAAATATTCCTGAATTTTGAGACGGTCTCTTAAAAATACCTGGAGGGTAGATTTCCTTTAAACTTTGCATGTATACTGAAGTTAATGTAGGTTATATATGGGTTTCGCTATTGAATTTTTCATACAATAAAACCCCAGTCTGTTCCCTTAAATTTCAGAAATCATATCACAAAGATCGAAGTAGGACATAATAAGGAATGGATTTTTACATGGAGTATACAAGTACATGTATATGCCTAGAAACACAATATTGATTTATTGCAGATTCATAGTCCCTGAAGCTAGGGTAATATTTTTTCTTGTGTAATATGCATAAAACCTTCTGACCCTATGTGATTAAAATTAAGAAACCTATACGAATAGACATCTTTTTCAACGTAAATAAGTTCATTTCTGGATAATTAAAGCTAATTACAATGGTGTTAATTAATTTGTTTCTTGTGCAATGATTTGTATTTGGATATATATTTGTTTTATATCAAGGAAGTAAAATGCTATAAAGTCGGGAATAAAATTCCAGATTTAAAGGAAGATTATCACGATTGAAAGATTTGGGATGTCGTAAAGGACAAACTAGATGCTGTCATGAGACAGTAATACCCGCACTATGGTGTTTGCCTTTAAATATACACTCATTCATATTGGACTTTCCAAGGAAGAAGTCAAAATAATTCTATAATTATCACCGTACATGTATTCGTCAAATTGAACATAAAATTTTCAGATGACCATATCAACTCTGAGCCTCACATATGTATTTTAAAATACTTAATTCATAACCAGTCTGAAATAACAGAATTTAATTAATGATTGAAGTAAATTACTTAATTAGATTCAAATAAATAATTTTCCCATAATTTGGAACTTTTTAAATTTACTTTCTCAACGACATAAAATATTATTTTAGTACAAAGCGTTTTTGATGAATTTATCAAAATGTGCAAACTGATTTTAGTATTTGGTCGGGAAAAAAACCCATTGAAAATACAACCCGATTAATTTGTCAATGCCTACCCCCCCCCCCCCCCCCACACACACACACACACACACTCTCTCTCTCTCTCTCTCACATTTTTTAAAAAAAACATAGTTTAGTTTATTATGATAGTTTGAAATTTGTTCTTGTACTAAACAGTTTTATTTTCTACATTCACATTGGGTTTGCCTCACCCATTATCATATTTATAGATATCACCTCTCGGCACACCTCGGCCAATTCATACTGGCAACGGAATCAGCAAAGGTTTGTCGAATGAGATTATTTAGCACATGTATGCTGACGATGCAGTGTGGTCAGTTAAAATCATTTGTGTTTTAATTGGATTATATGGATTATATTTCATGAATTCGTTGTCACGACCTATGACATTCGGTAAGTACAAGATTTAGTATAGATTGCATGAAAATAAATAAATGCAAATGGTTAGGTTGAAGTTCAAAAAGGGTCAACATGGTCAAAGATCATCGCATGCCACAGTCGACAAATTTCACATTGTCAAGTTATCTCCCGTTGCGGACATTCAGTATATAACAGACGCAGATCCAGATTTTTTTTTTCAGAAAGGGGGGGGGGGGGGTGTCACACTTCAGTCAAAAAAATCAGCCCAAGATTTCCTGAGATGGAAATAAAAAATAATAATAAAAACAATGATGGTGGAGTCCCTGTTTTCTAAGGGGGAGGATGTCCAAAGTCATTTTTATTCTCTACAGTACATATATAGTCTTATTTAAATAACTGCTAATTCCAGGGGGGGGGGGGGTCTGATCTCCCTAGCCACTGACTCCCTGTACCTGAAATGACAATTGAGCTTCTGACTCCATAATAGTAGAAATTTTTTTCATTTGACTAGTTATACATATTTTGTTTCCTATGTTTATGTATTTTTGTCTGTCCACGAAAACTTTAACCTTGTCCATATTTTTTAAGTGGATTGGGCTATACACATGGCTTCAATATTTCATAGGTCAATTTCTTTTGGCAAAACCTTTTAATGGGTACCACCAATTTTGACCTCTTGATCTCTTGACCTTGGAGTTTGACCCAATTTTACAAGAAAAATACCTTGAACTTGGCGTAAGTTTTGAACAGGTGGTGCTAGGACTTTCATGCTCTTACATGTGTAATCATTGTGAACTTTCAACAGGTATAATTATTTTTGACCTAGACCTTAGAGTTGAATCCAATTTAACTTTAACCTTGGCAATAACTTTTGAACAGGTGAGGAAGTTCTAGGGATTTCTCCCTTTTTTCACATGTGTATTCCTTGTGACAAGACTTTCCCTTTGATACCAACAATTTAGACCCTTTGACCTTGACCTTGGAGTTTGACTTACATTTTAGAAACTTCAACCTTTGCCAAAAGCTGCCATAACAGTTGCTGTCACAACAAACAAACAAATTACTAAAAAAAACACAGAATACATGTACATATTTTATATTCAACAGATATACATCTGGTCATATCTCTAGTTCTCCCTTGAATGAGACATGGTGATATAAATTTTAAAAAATAATTATAAGAGTTGAAAAGGTTGTGCATATTGAAATATACTAAGCTCTGCGGATGAATTAGATATACCAGTTTAGCTTTATTTTGCTACCCAAAGCACCTTGATTAACTATTTATAAGCATACTGTTTTCTGAAATGTACTGATTTCTGTTGTCCATCTGTTTATCTGCAAACTTTTCACATTAACTTCTTAAGAACCACTGGGCTAATTTCAACCAATTTACATTTA